TTCTTTGTTGAACATGCCTACAATCAATTCTTTCAGCATGAAGCATTCCATCAATCTGCAAGAGCAAGGACAAAGGTCAGGGAATGCGGTTCAGGTGACTTCCACACATCTACAAAGCTCGATGGCTACATCTGGGTAGCTGGAAAGGACAAGATTGCTCACATCCCAGAATCAGAGCAACAGAATGTGGACATGGAAGATCACGATGATGATGATGCTGAAGATGATTTGGAGTTTTTGCCAAGACTACAAGTTTTTGTCAGGAAAGAGGAGGAAAAGGCATCAGGCTCTCAGGAAAGAGAGGAAGAAGGTGTATGCTCTCAAGAAAGAGAGGAAACACAACCACAACAAGAAGATGAGGTATTACCAGATGCAAATCCTCGAAGAAATATGGAAGATCGACAGGGACTGTTTTTAGTCAGGCAACTCAAACCAGAGCACAGGAGGATCCTACAGGATATTACACTTGCAGGCCAATCAATCCTCACAGGAGATGATCTTGAAGGAGGTCAACCCCTTGAACGTGGTGACATAAGCTTCTTCTCATTATGGTTGATGATGTCGGCATTATCAGATGCTTCCTTTTCAACATTTATGGAGCAGTATGCACCTATGATGGGTTATGAGATCTCTTACGACAAGTATCATGAGTTCAAACTGGATATTGACCAAGTTCTCAGAGAGAATGAACACCTTGGCGCAGAAAATTTCTTTGGAGCAGAGGATCCTGATTTGGTGGACGATGATCCAGACACTCCTCTTCCAGATCTTCAAAGACCAGGCGCAGGTGATCCTGAGTACAAACATACTATTGAAAGTTTGAACATTGAGGACAAACATATCGTTTTGGAAACTGATGATGACAAATTGGTTGAGTGTACATTGAAATGGATCAGTATGTGCAATCAGAATGTTCAACAAAAGATCAAGGACAGTTTTGTCAAACCAGAAGAAAGACAAGAGAAAGAAGAGGATGAAGAAGAGGAGATTGCTGTCGAAGAAAAAGAAGAAGAAAAAGACACACAGGAGCCACATGTCCCAGCTGAAGGCTCTTCAGAGAAAGAGGAATCAGCTCCACCTGAACGCTCCTCAGAAAAGGAGGAATCAGGGGAGAAGAAAACAGACATTCAAGATGATGAGACAGCTCCTGAAGTGAAACCTGCAATTCGACTTTACTATGGTCAAGATATCACTGGAAACGAAGATGATTCAGTTTTTCGAAAATTGAAGGATTGTTTTTCAGATGATTACCATGGTGAATGGGCAGGATTTTACAACAAAGGTTATCCAGCGTCTTCGAAGCATCGACACATGTTTTGGCATGTCAAGTACAGAAAGACCATGTCTCCACATCAAGATTATTGGTACCATCTTACAGATGACCAGTTGATGGTTGAGTACATTGCCAGACACAAGGATCAAAATCCACAACTAGAATTACAAGAACTCAATCAGCGCATTGAATATGGTTGTAGTGATCCTAGGATGCATCCTCTTCATCAAGACAAAGCAGAAAGATCCTCAAAAGAAGCAGAAAAGAGGATTGATGACGATTTTGGAAATCTCACAAGGGTACTCCAAGATTACGTTGAGGACCACAAGGTCTTGCCTTACTGTATGATCTTGCATAGCTTGGCTTACAGGTATTTAGGTGGAGGCCTATCAGACCCAACGTACAAGGATGCTGAATTTCCATACAGATCCTCTCCACAGATAACAGCAATGTTTTGGAATTTGGGAAACTGGTGCAGAAACAGATTTGAAAAATGCCCGGTTCCAGAAAGATTTCAACAATTCATTCCACACATTGACTACACTATCGATGAGGATCATGAAAAATTTGATGAAAACAAATCACAGTTCAACAATTACTTCATCAATGTCATCAAGAACTTTGGAGGACATCTTTTCATGAATTGCGAGGCTGGTTCATTGTATCCTCACAGAGAAAGACTCGACGAGGTTGACTTTAAAACTTGCTTCAATGACTATCATGACTTGATGGTGGCAGCTCGCCTTGGAAAGGATGGCTATATCAAGCAAATTGCTGGATATCACACAGATGACAACGACACACGAGTTCGACAAGTCTCATGGGCAATCTTTGAAGTATCTTGGGGAAAGACAAAGGATCGAGATACAGATGAGATTGTTGACTTGACAAGAGCTAGGATGAGAATGACACGTGTGTGCGTTTATCACGTCGGACAGAAGTATGCATCAGACTCTGCTGGGATTGTTGGTGAGTGCTTAGCTGTTATGGCTTTTGAGTGTGCCAGATATCAAGTTGACTTCATCGCAGGTGATGGAAACAAGGCATGCTATTACAGCACACCAAAATCTCCAGGTGTCCCTACATACCAACACAGCCTTATCCAATTCTGGATCAACAGAATGGTAGGTGTTGCAACACAAGCCATGCGCAAGTATTTTGATTCATCTTGCCCTCCAATTAGGGTCAAGCATTTCATTTCTTGCAGTTATCGTGACTTGGATTTTCTTGCAACGCACTTGGATGGCATTACAACAGCAACATACACCGACGAGCTCATGAACAAGACAAATGGTAAAGGTGATTGTTGTATGTTAACAGTTGTTGAGTGGGGTCATTCACGTTTGATGTGTGAGGAACACCCAGAAGACTTTGAGGATGAAGATCACATGAACTATGTGGGTGAATTTTACTTCAAGGTAAATGAAACTTGCTTACATGGTGATCACAACATCTTCATGGTTGCCCCAAATGATCGCGATGCTCATAATCCAATTCTTATCCATCTTGATCCTTCTGATATGTCGTGGAATGAACGACATCAATACAAACAGGCCTACAAGAAGAAGCAGTATGCTGATACAAGAAAGGAAAGACAGAAGGAGAAAAAGAGAAAGGCATATGAAGATCAAGCATCGACGTATCAGGGCAACACAGAGTGGGGTGGATCCTCATCTTCTTCGTCCAGACCATGGAGATCAAGCTTTTGGCTATGAGTGAGTGTATACTTCTTTAAATGAAGATAACACAGCATGAGAAGCCGTGTACAGTTTTTCTGTGCGTTCAACTTATTTCACACAAATGGCATATACTCTTATAGATAGAGATAATGCCACAAGTGTCTGAATTTCGATTTAATGTAAAATAGAGACTCTTGTAAATAGAGATACTATATACATTTATCTCCATGAACCATCCGGCGAGCAGACCACTCCGAATGGAGCGAACTCCAAAAATTACCAACTTCGATTTCAGTCCATTGTTTGCTTGAATGAGCAACTTTGGAGATCCGCTATTTCCGTTTATTTCGTGATTTGGTCAATTGTTTTTCGTATGACCTGAATTTCTGAATCTTGCGAACCCGAACTTTTCAATTCGAACTTTCACCGGTAGAGCAAAGCATTTTGCCTATGGAGAGACCGTGCGCGAAGCACCATTGGTCACTACTGGAAAAATTAGCGAATCCGCTGTTCTTTTTCGGCATGTCCTTAGGACATTCGCTGCCTTCACGTGTTTTTCATTTCAAAGCCACTGCGTAACTCCGGTTTCTTTTGCTATATGCCATTGTGTAGAAAAGTCAGGAAGATACTCTTAATACCAATTGGGTACGGCAAGGCGTAGTGCTCTACTCATTGCTTTTGAATTTGTGCCTGTGTTTTTGTTTCGACCTAATACCTACATAGGTACATGCATGAGTATTGAGCACATTTATATGCGCCCTTCAAGGCTCAAGAGGTATATAGAGTAACCCTGTAGACAAGCACAGACCGGCAACAGGCTGAGTAAAACAAGTGCTGTCATTGGGGAAGACGCCTTAGCTGATCTTGAAGTAGACGCTAGGGCCCCTCTTCACCCCCCCCCCCCCCCCCCCCCTCCCCCACCACCCACCATCACCACCATCACCACCATCATCATCATCGTCATCATCATCGTCATCATCATCGTCATCATCATCGTCATCGTCCTCTCCATCGTCCTCGTCCTCGTCCGCGTCGTCATCATCATCATCATCACCATCATCATCATTGTCGTCCTCGTCATCGTCCTCGTCATCGTCATCGTCATCGTCATCATCATCGTCATCATCATCATCATCATCATCATCCTCGTCATCATTCATTCATTCATTCATTCATTCATTCATTCATTCATTCATTCATTCATTCATTCATTCATTCATTGATTGATTCATTGATTCATTGATTCATTCATTCATTGATTCATTGATTCATTGATTCATTGATTCATTGATTCATTGATTCATTGATTCATTGATTCATTGATTCATTCATTCATTGATTCAGTCATTCATTGATTCAGTCATTCAGTCATTCAGTCATTCAGTCATTCAGTCATTCAGTCATTCAGTCCTTCAGTCCTTCAGTCCTTCAGTCCTTCATTCCTTCATTCCTTCCTTCCTTCCTTCCTTCACTCATTCATTCATTCATTCATTCATTCATCATTCATCCATCATCATCATCATCATCGTTATTCAATTACATTTTATCATTATTGGCAATTATTGTCATTATCACGAAAGCTAGCGTCAGCTCGCTAGAGTCTTCTTGCTTTAGCACGTATTCCGGGGCTCCCCAAGGACATCACGTGACTTTTCCCGCGAAAGGGCCCCCCCTGCCCCCTCCCCCATATATATCATTGTTATATATCATATATCAATATATCATTGTTGCATCCTCGTTGGGACGAACAATGCCGCGACACGATGATGACAGTCCCTCCGCAACTCACCTCTTCCCTTCCTTCTTTCTCCTACCCCGCTAGCTTTCGTCATCCACCCCCGGCCTCAAGTATAATGGTTAATAATGGTTGATAATGGTTAATGATGGTTAATGTCCGGTTGGTGGTGACTGGAACATGACTTTTATGACTTTCCATATATTGGGAATAATATATAATCCCAACTGACTTTCATATTTTTCAGAGGGGTAGATCAACCACCAACCAGCAATGAGAAAGATGTCTTTTTTTTTGGCATGGCAAATCCCAGGTGGAGCTGTGATTGTCCCGAAGGCTTCCAAGGCACACACTGCGAGTTTTTCAGATGTCCAAATGACTGCAGCAACTCGGGCGATTGCAACGCCGAGACCGGGCTCTGCGCTTGCTTCGTTGGATATTTGCAGGAGGATTGTTCGGAGACAACGAACTGGAAGGCATGCAGTTGCAAATCGGTTGTGCTGAAGCCGCATCATTTCAGCGTCCTAGCACATAGCAAAAGTCATACGTAGTCATAGTGCGAACACTGTGACACGGGGTTACCCTCCAAAGGTGATCGTCTGCTACATAAATATGGACTCTCTTTTTCACCAAGCAGTGGCTTGTTGATGCAGGGTTGACTTGGTATAAACATGTATAAACCCTTGTGAACAATGCTAAATGGCAATGACTGAAACATGGGTTGTGGATATGCCAGGCTGATTTCGCCCCACATTCTTGGCTGGTTATCCCTTAGTTGTTTTTTTCCGCATTTTATGTGGGTCAAAAACGGTACCCCGTTTTTGGACCCCCAGCCATAGCCATATGAACTTGCATAAGATTCAGATACCCTCTGGTAATTTAACATAGCTATTGAAAATGGCCATTTATAGTGGATTTTCCGCATTAAAACTGGTGATTTTCCATAGCTATGTTAAATTACCAGAGGGTACCAAATTTCATGGTGATTCATAATTTTACCACTTGAAAGTGCAAAACAACACCGGGAATTGCCATTTATATTCGACGCACCCAATTTTGGGTGATCTCCCACATTTTTTTGCGACCGAAAAAAACAGGTGCCATTTGCCAATTGCATCGAAGTCCACTTGACATGGGGCTTGAATGGGCACCAGGCAGAGACAGCCTGTGCGGCAGAATGGGCAGGTGACAGGGATTCCAGTAACAAGAGGGGGATATCCAACAAGACTGAGGGATTGAATCAGCAACATGGGAATACAATGGTATATAATGGGGATATAATTTAATGGTATACATGCATAAATCACCAACTTGAGATTAGAGATTTGGCTTTGTCTGAAAAATGGTGACAGAATTCTCCCTTAAAATTCCGCTAAATGTCAACAGTTTCAGCATATCAGTTGAAAACAGGTTTACAGTTGGGGGGTTTACCCAATTCTTCGACAAAGCCACGACTGGGATTTTGCAAACGAGACTGGGTGAAACCAGTGCTAAACCAGAGATTGCCTAAACCGGATATGTGGGGATCAGAATTTGTTGCTCCGTGGAGTTCCCATGGACTGGTCGACTGGTTGGACTCCTTAACATGGGACATGGGACAACCCATCCATAAACCTCCAGTTGATTTATTCTGGGAATAGCAATTTTAATCCATCACTATTTTCAAGGTACCCTCTGGTAAACTAACATAACTATGGAAAATCATCATTTTTAATGGGAAAACTCACTATAAATGGCCATTTTCAATAGCTATGTTAAATTACCAGAGGGTAGTCACTGTTTATCAATCCATCACTAACATTACCCTTTATCCGTACACAAATGCGAGTCTTGTGGTCTCAGCCCGCTGGTCTCAGCCCACTCTAATGTTTTTTTAAATGCCTCCTGGGATCATCTGATAGGTGTACAACACCAGTGCTCCGGACTACAACTCCATGTTTGATCTTTTCGCGCCCGAAACCCAGGCTTTGGGACGGGACTGTAGAGGGTTCACTGATTTGGCTGGCAGCCAAGCTCAAATTTGGGGCCATACATGCATTTGTTCCCTGAAACAGACCGTGAGATGCTAGCTTAACTTGAGAGTCTGAGTCCCCAATTTTGGACACCGCATTCTTGTAGTTTTGAGGCGCTACAGTAGCTACAACTCATGGTCTTTTTTGAACTAGCCCGACACAGGATGATTCAAGCTGCTGTTGATACCATACTTTTCCCATGCACCATTCACCACATCAGCAGAGCCTCCTAGCGTGGGTTGGCGAAGCATTATTTCTGATCTAACACATGGTGTTGGATTAACACCTATTAAATTAACCGTGGATTTCACCAGATTAAAGATATGCTACAATGGATCTGAAATAATGCTTATAATATTGTATAACTGTAGAACCCATATAATTTTATGGCGCTGAACATCTGTAATTCCCAGGAATTTCCGAGGGTGTTTTCGCAGGGAATTCCATATCGTTTGACCAGTTTTCCCCATCGGCCCATCCCCCAAAATCCAGTTGCATTGGCAGCCCTTAGTTGCACTGGCATGGCCTATGGTCCCAGTCGTATGTGATTTCATCCCCAACCAAAAACCATGGTTTCTGTTTTTTTTAAAATTGAATATGAATGGGGGATTATTTATTTTGAGGTAGTTGGAGCAAAACACTAAACTGTGAATTATCCTCTGGTCCAGTCTAGAATTGCGGATTCTCCTTTAAGCAGATTAGCGTGTGTCGTCACAAGTCTGAATGACATTGATTGGTCGCAAGCAGTTAAATCATCGTGGATAAGCCACATCGGTCTTGTTGAAAAGTACAATGGAAGGGAGTTTCTTACCACATGTTCCTAGCATTTTTGGGAAATTCAGGAATGATCAACCCTGGTTTTCATGCATGTCCCCCCAAACATCACTAAGTATCAACCATTTGGGGGGTTATCATAACTCATCAAAACACGGGTTTTGTCTGAAGATATGATACTCCCCCAATTCCCATGGATTAAGGCCTAATTTTCAAGAAATTTCCTTATGAAAATATGACTCTTAATTGCTATAAATGGGTATATCCCCTATTTTCTGCCGCACATGGGTTTTCTATGTCTTTTTGGGTATACACCCCACATCCCAGTGCGGTCCTTTCAGTTCGCCAGGCGTGGCTCCTTGAGACCTGCCAGCTCGCTCGCGCACAGGAGGAGCTGATGGTGACGTGGCGAAACACGCGGAGCCACTGGGGATGGCGCTGGGTGAAGCTCATGAAGATTTACCATGGGAAAGGCAGTTTTTTTTGGGACTACCCTCTGGTTATTTAACATAGCCATAGGAAATGGCCCATTTATAGATGGTTTACCTATTAAAAATGATGTTTTTCCATGGCTATGCTAAAAACCAGATGGTATATTTTGGGACTATGATGATGGTTTCTATTCACCAGTGGGACTATGACAAACTCAGAGAGCTATGGAAATTCACAATGGGACTATCATGCGACTATCTGAACATAGTGTGACATCAAGATGGTGAATGGGACCATAATGGAATAGCCTTCGGTAATCAAACATGGCTGGGAAACCCATCAGTTCGATGATTTTCCAGCTAGAAACCTCCATGGCTAGTTCGGGAATTTCCCAGCTTGCCATGTTTGAGTACTGGGTAGCTATGGAAATTCACCATTTTATAGGCAAATCGCAGTAAATGGGCTTTGGCTTCCATAGCTATGTTAAATACTTTCTGGGTAGACATATATGATATACAATATAAATGATCAATCAAACACACATATATATAATATACATAATATATAATATATAATATATAATATATAATATATAATATATAATATACAATATACATAATATACATAATATACAATACATAATATATAATATATAATATATTTAATATATAATATAAAATATATAATATATAATATATAATGTATAATGTATAATATGTTGGTTGCAACATATGCTAACTAAACCTACCCACAAACAAACACAGGAACGAACCTAGAATATCTGTTATTTATGGGGGTTCTGAGCAGATTATTCAAGAGTAGGAACATACAGAGCATACAAAAGAATTCAGCAATCGAATTTGTACAAACAAGGATGCAACAAATGGAACCAGCACAGCCTGGGTATATCACCAACGAGCATAAGGATTTCAGCAGCACAATTAATGGTTGGTGGTTTCAACCGTTTGATGATATCAGCAAGCTACTTGGTGATATCCTACTGTTTCGATAGTGGGAATTTAGAGAATACCACCAACCTATTGGTGATAACCCAGTTATATACTGGTTGGTTTATTGTTTTTCTCAAAATTTCCAGCCCGCTTACGAGATGATGCTAGCAACCAGATGCATTCTCAACACAAACAACAACACAGAACTTGGATCTTGGACAGCCCTGGTCCTGGTGACGCGAGGTTCGCGAGGAGTTGATGTGCTGGATTGAAGGTGCTGAATCTGATGTGAGCTATGGTCAATACTCATGGTTAATAACCATTAATAGGGGCTAGTCATCCAATGGTTCATAGGGATTTATAATAACCATTATAAGGATCCTTATGATGGATGGGATGACCATCAACCATATAGTGAGTATTGACCATGGCTCATGTGGGGAAACCCCTGGCCATTTTGATAGGGAAAATGATGGCCATCATGGATCCGTGGCGCCTTTTTGGGGTACCGAAAATTTGGGGAAACCCGGAAAAATCCTGGCTATGTCAGGATCGACCGTTTGAAGCTTCCCATGTATCATTCATTGTCTCAGTCTTTCTGGCTTCTCAATGGCAAAAATTTCCTGGATTTTCCTAGTTTTAGAAGAATGACCTCTGACATGTTTCCAGAGCTCTTGTAACCTGAAAATGAGGACAAGACTTGCACCTGAAAATAAACATGAGATCGATTTGCCTACATCACTAGGGTCCATGGGTCCATAATTGGTTACATTGGGGGTGGTTTGTGTCAAGCAGTAATTCCTTCTGTTGCCACATTCTGGGGATAAGATGATGTTTTTGATCCCTGGTTCATGTCTAATCACTGATCCAACCTAGAATCTAAACACTCGTTTTTGACTGTTTACTCGGTGTTTAGTGATTTAATATCGGTTTTGGCTTGTGAAATCCACATGTTTGATGGTTAAGGCAGTCAAGAAAACCACTGTTCATGGTCAAATCATGTCAAATCCCCAAGTGCGTCTTCAGTGATCACCCAGGAATTCCTGCGCCAGGCTTCAAAAACTTTGTGAACTTGGCCGGTGGGATCTTTCCGGTGCCTGTGGCTGAAGTCCAAATGGATGGGTCCAGGATTCATGGGGATTTTACATGATTTTACCCAGCAAAATGGGATGGTTTTCCATGGATTTTTTGGGGAAGCGCCAAGGTTTGACCCAAGGAGAAGATCCTGAAGTTCAAAACCGCCCCCCCCCTAAAAAAACTGATTCCCTTCAGTAAAATCATGGTCATCCAATTAAAATCAAGATTCACTACAGTTGTGACAGTTGTGATAAAACATCGAAGTCTTAATGGCAATTCCCCCAGCTGAGATCAGAGGCTTTTCTACCAAGGTTGAGAGCCCGGAGCTGGCATCGCAAGCCCTACAGGTGCGGGCGATTGGTAACTCCCAGGTCACTGGAACCTTTGTGGGTACCCGGCCAGGTAAACATACAACAAGCTATTGAAAATGGCCATAGAAATAGTGGATTTACCCATTAAAAATGGTGATTTTCCATAGTTATGTTAGTTTACCAGAGGGTAACTTACAGTAGTTCTTTTCCTGCAATTTTGATGAGGATATGGATTGGCCTGGCCATGTTTTCTTGTTGTTGTTTCCGGAGTATCTAAGATTGTCCATGATTCGAACAACCTCAATGACCCAAAGGACCTCCCTCGTAGCTAATAAAGCGCTGCCACTAGGCCCTTCAAGCATGTAGACTGCAGATAAAAACCTAGGGTAAGTGGTGTCCCATGGATTGTCCAACAGAATTGGGTCCCAAAATGCATGGTGATACAGAACGAACATGAGCGTTTATGGGTCCCGTGGTACCCAAAAAAATCGAAGGCACTGCTCATCTCCATGAGGCGTTTATGCATCAAGATGCTGCGAAACCCTTTTATGGGCTCCTTGGAAAAGATACAGCTGGGAGGTGGTTCCAAAACTTCGAAGAATGAAAGGGACCTCATTGGCTGATGTCACCCTATGCGATATGATTAGCAAAGGATGGTGAATTAGTATCATTCAGATTTCGTTCAAGATATTTTATCTCTGTAGATGTGGAAAACACCCATGGCGCGACCCAGATCTCACCATTCAGCCAAGGGATGTCAGCACCTCCGGGCTCGACTATGATGGACCTGCCAACTTTGCCAGAGAGAGGCCGGAAGTCGGTGGAGCAATTCCACTCTTCTGCTTGAAATCTGAGTACTTCGGTGGCCACCCCCGTCAAAAACTGATAAAATCACCATGCAGAGGTTAGTCCCATAGGTGGCTTGAAAGTTAGCAAAAGTTAGCATAAGTTAGCCTCCGGCAATCAACCATAGCAATTGGAAATCCATTAGACATGGAGGCTTCTGGGAAAATCATCGAACTCAACGGTAGAAGCTACTGTCGATGGTCACCAATAAAGCCCCTCGAGTCGATGGATGTCGTTATGGCAGGCTCAAGATCAATGTGGCCAAGACCGGCAACACCACGTACCGGCCGCTTGGGATGATGTTTAAAAATGATGTGAAACGACCCAAAAAGAAAAATGCTTGGTGAATGGAATGGTGGCATTGGATTTACTATTAATCACTATTAATCACTATTAGTCACTATTGGATAGCCAATCACTATTAATCACTATTAATCACTATTAGCCAATCAGTTTGGGATAGGTCAAAGTTTGGCCAAGGATGGGTACCATAGACTGGCGATTTTCGGGATCTGCAACCATTTGAGGGCCTGAGGGCCATCCTTGGATGTGGGAAGTCATGATTTCGGTGATGGCCAGGAGTTGCCGTTTTTCATTTCGGAAGATGATCTCAATTTGCTTTTGTCTTTTAATATCTATGCCGCGAAAAGCATCCACCATTTTTGTCCATTTATCAATTTATCTTATGCAATTATTGGTTTTCCAGAACGAGACTCCTGCAAAAAACATGAGTATGTATGATAATGATACGAGGAGAGCCATCATTTGAGGTGTCAGCAAAATTGAGAAGCCTCAGCCACTTAGTTTCGTTCCCCATTTTGTGTTTACAATAAAAATTCAATGATTTGGGCTGCTTGTCCTACCCCCGCTTGATTGTTTTCCCAGGACGGCAATAAGGAAAAGATGGGAAGAGTTTGCAAAGAGCCGCAATGAAGGAGCACCTGCCAATGTGTCTCAGTTTTATGGACGGGAAAGACATTTGTATGCAGTCTTGAATTATGCTGATGATGATAATCATTTGTGTATTTTTCATTTTTTTTCTATACCATGGGCTATACGGTATACCCTCTGGTGAACTAACCTAGCAATGGAAAGATCCACCATTTTTAATAGGAACATCCACTATTTCGACTGGGCCATGGCTTCAATTGCAAACTGTTAGTTCACCAGAGGGTATACCCATCAACAAATTCTCATTTTTCATGGGGTCTAACATGATCCATCTTTAGTGGGTTAAACATCCACTGGTTGACCATAAATCGCTGGAGGATCCTGGATCCTAGCTTTCTACCAGCTTAGGTCATCCCAGTCATGGGATAAGCCACAATTTTTTTTGGGGGAACTATGGAAAGATCCACCATTTTTGATGGGAAAATCCACTATTTCGACTGGGCCATCTTCAATAGCTAATTAATTTTTGGGAACTTCACCAAGAGATACGAACCAAACAAAACCAACATACCCGGCCTGGTAAAGGTTTACAAAAAGCTATGGAAAGATCCACCATTTTTTATGGGAAAATCCACTATTTCTGTGGCCATTTTCAATAGCTACGTTAAATTACCAGAGGGTAGATGTGGAAAAAAAACCTATGTGTAGATCATTTTCCTAGGCGAATCTGATTTATGATGGCAGCATAGACATTCTGATTTATCGTCATCAATGATATTCATCAGTAACCATCATTATCTCGGATTCATATCCCATTAATAATATTGATATCCCTATTAAACCATATTATAAATGGCCATTTTCCCTATGAAATCCCATTTTTTGAAACCCCATTTTTTATCCCCAGAACTATGTCCAGGTGGGCGTCATGTTGATGGTCTCCAGCACTTGGATGCAGATGGAGATGGAGAGCAAGGTTTTTCGACAGTTTTTTGCACCATCCGTGGAGGAAATGGCCCAGAAAAATGGGGGGATTTCACCATTAGAAAAAACAGCGGATTTAAGCCATGAATCGTGGATTTGGATGGATTTGGGGTTGGTCCAAGACAGGTTTATTTTTTGGCCCCAATTGTTCAGCTATTTTAATAGGACAAGGTGATACACCATGGCTTATTTTTAGGTGGTTTTCTCCTCGATTTCAAGACAAAATTTCAAGACAAAACCATGTCTCATATTGCTGGATTTGCAGAAAAACACTGAGGATTTCTTGCACGAAAGAACTCCGAGTTAACATGATTCACACACAGCATGTGGGGCTTGCTATGTCGCCGAAGTCGCCGTGGGACTGTCAGTGGACCAAAATCAGACTCTCTGGCTAGAAAGCGCACATATCAACATATTGCCTGGATGTGCGTTTTAGTTGGTAAATTATTTAATACATACCCATGACGGATCCATGTATGCTATATACTATATATGGTGTGCCATGAATCCCATCAATATGCCCCCAATGTTAGCATATATATCATACATGGATCCTATGGGATATAATATGATATAATTATATAATTGTATACCCTCTGGCAATCAAACGTGGCAATAACCCCCGTTCAGTACATTTTTAGGCTTTCTTGATGGGAAAACCATCGAAGTACATGGTGGATTTTCCAGCTAGCCATGGCAATGATTACCGGAGGGTGTATATTAAACATGGATTAGTTGCTTGTTGATCCAGCTAATAACGGATATACTTACTGTATAACTATTTTATATTGGATATATATATATATGTATATATATATGGTATATATATATGGGTAGATTATATGGGTAAGATGTTAGCATATATATATATATACATACCATACATGGATCCTACGGGTTATGGTATCATTGATCTGGGTAGATTTGATCACGACCTCACGTCGTTCTCCGTCACTGGATTGATGGTCATCATCGGGGTGAGAACATCATTGACTATCCCATGAAATAGCCGAAACTTTTAATGAAACTTATTATAGGTCAGACAATTATGAAATAGTTTACCCTAATGTTTGCCCAGAATTATGTTTTTTTGTTGGTTTACATCCCAAAAAAATTTCTATATAAATCCACTGACCGATGATCCGTGATTCACCCATGAAATCCCACTATATATATACATATATATATCCCCATTTCTTGACTAGCCGAAACTTAGTCGACTGGTTTGCAATTTGAAACAGCGATGATATTTTCCATATTGGAGGGTAATATCCCATTAAACTATGGAACATCACCACTTTGACTGGATTGTCCCTAATATTGGTGTCCCAACGATGATATGAATTTTGGCCTTATCACCAGGATGGTCACTTTCTGAACCGGTCGGAAAATCCCGGGGTTCCAAGTCCCCAAAACAGCTGGATTTTGTTGATCAACTCGCCCATCTTTCAGGGGAATGTCCCTTTTTTGTGGGGTAAGGTGAAATCATCATTTTTTTCCAGTAAGTCACAATTTTCGGTTGGACACCCACCTTTTTCTTTGTAGGCGGCATCTTCAAATTTGGTTTTTAAGGAAAACATATCAACAGCAAAAAGACACATATATATTGAACTATTCTTCATCAGAAAGAACATCTTCAAACCATCATCAAACATATCTTCGTTTTTTCCTTTCCTCAAGGTCCCCAAGAAAGAAACGGTCAACCACCACCGGCTTTCCCACTATGGGCCGGGCCCCGAGATCGATCTGATCAACAGGTGGTTTCCTCCACCATGATGGCTTTTGCTGGCTCCATCACCGTGTCTCTGCTGGCGGTGGCACTCTTCACGCAGATGCCTGGCTGATTTTTTGATCCGCGAGTGATCCCCAACGGGAAAGACACGGCGATTTTTTTGCAGAACAAAACTTGGTGAACAGTCGAGATAGAGAACAACTAGATGTAAGAATGTTGAATGAGTACAATTTTTATTGGCAATGTAGCTGTCTAGAAACCTAGATGTCATGACCCCACTACTTATTTAAGATATTAAACGATTTCGCTTGGATGTGCGCTTGGGATCCAGTTTTCAGACCTAAAGCTGCTGGTGAATCCACCTGCGACCGGGATTGGACCACCTCCCCACCGGACTTTCCGCCGAGAAATGCCATCATTGCACTGTACGTCTGCCTGAACATCGTGCTGGTGGTATGCATCCTCGCTGGATTCCTACTCAATGTCATGGGCTATGAGCGCCTCAGCGGAGTTTGTTGAGTTGCACCAACATTTTGATCAACCCATCATAAGCCATCCATTTACCTCGTGAAACAAAGCAACTTAGTTAACAACTTGGGGCACCAACCAGCTTTTCACTGGTGAAATCCCTATTTTTTCCACCGCCTTCTAGCGGTGGTTACTCCCAACTTAGCCAAGTGACTGGGGGCACGTGGACGACCACGTCTTCCGTTTGATGATCGTGCACATGGAATGCCCATGACTATCCCACCCCCCATTGTTCATCCCATTCATGAGCGATATATTTAAGTTAGTTTGGTGCCTTAAAAATCTCATGAAAGAGCCAGAAAAACGCATCCCCGATCCCCTTCATCCCCGCCGCATCCCCTTCCAGTCGCGGACCGAGGTTTGGTGTGGCCGAAGCCATTGGAGCGACGATCTTTGTGGGGCTCAGCGTGGACTACTGTCTCCATCTGGCCCACGCCTACAACGAGGCACCATCCAACAGCTCGAGGCAGAAGATACGACAGGCGCTGGTGGTCATAGGAGCGGGGATGGGGATGGCATGGGGGATTTCATGGGATTTCACAAACACAAAGATACCGACATTGGATGAAATTGGGCGTCAAACCAATCACAATCTGAATATGAGATATAATTGGATATAACTGACAGCATGAAACGGGTTTGGTTGAATATTGAGGTGCGTTACCCAACCAAAATAGAGATTTGATCAAGTTAAACCATAAAGAATAAGCAATGAAGAATGGATATGGGTTCGTCTGAAAATTGGGGGTTTACACAGCAAAACGGCAATGTTGCAGTTATGGGGAAGATAATACTGTAATCAACCTTAGGAATTGGATGACGGACAAGAAACACACAGGGTTTACCAACCAGTCTTAGTAGTACAAAATCATGGGCTCCAAATCTTCCCTTAAAGCCAATGAGTGCAGAACCAGAACCAGGGAATTAGGGGTTGACCTCAGTGGCTGACTGAACGCTGTGTGTCAGATATGACTGGTGTGTGTTCTGTTTGAAGTTTCAAAGGATTCCTGGTTGGTGGTTTGGAACATTTTTTTATTTTCCATGATTCAGTTGGGACAATCATCCCAACTGACGAACTCATATTTTTCAGAGGGCTAGGTCAACCACCAACCAGAATTCATTGCAACTTGCTCAGATTTGGCCTGGGATGGGGATGGATCCAACGTGAGGTGCGACATTTTTTTAGAAAAAACATGGGATCGATGAACTAAGGAACTGGTCTGTTACAGGTTGGTGGAACATGAAAGTTGCAGCGTGGTACCCTCCGGCAATCAAACAAAAACATGGAAAATCCCCAATGATGGATGATCTTCCCATTCAAACCTCCATTTTTCATAGGAATTTTCCAGCTAGCCATGTGGGGATGGGTCAAAACCCTATCCCCCTGGTGAACATTAAAATAGCTGGGATTTATGGATGTTCATCCCCCTAAGAATGGTATGTATAGGTATTGATCCATAGCCATGTTTGACTATGAGAGACTTTCCAGCTATTTGGCATCACTTCCAGGACCTTCCATCCTGGGTGGTGCATCCACGACCATCGTGGGCACCGCTTTTCTGCTGCCCTGCCGCATTCTGCTGTTCCAGAAACTAGGCCTGGGAAGGACATGGAGGTTTCCTAAAATGGGGGGCACCGGGGTACCACAAATCATCCCAAAATTGGACTATTTTAGTATTGAAACCCATGGTTTTGGCGATCCTGGATTTCAAGAAACCCCAACATGGGCGTGTCTGAAAACAGGGTGCACCCGCATTTTTTGGCCATTCGAACCAGGGAAATGATTATTCTAGCAGTGGAATTCGGGATGAGATAGCCAATTTTCAGACACAGTCATCCTCTGTTGCCTCAGCTGGAGCAAGTCTGGGACTGCGCCATGGACAATTGGGCCTATCAGGGTAAACTTTTGTTTGGTGAATGGAGGCATATGACATCCCACATTAGGATACATTAGGATACAAGCTCCTGACTCTTCACTGCATCCTGCATCCCGGTATTGTGGTTGCCCGGGAAATCCCACCTGACTTAGCCTCCGTGTGCTCACAGGCTGGAGTTTGTTCGCGAATTCCACAGTCTCAATACTTTTGACCTTCTCCTTCCTCTGTCCAATGCTGATCATCTTGGGCCCTACAGGACTGGAGCTGACCGGGGGTCACGGAAAATTCGCAGCCTAAAGCAATTTGGATGGTTGAACAAACACATGGTCTCCCGTAAACTTTACCTTGAGTCAATTTTAGTCACTTCATTCAACCCATTGATGAGTGATAATTGTGTTCCATAGGGGCAGCTTTGACGAATTGACGATGACCTTGTACTGGTTCTTGCCACATACTTCCACGGGAGTCGCATCCAAGTTTGCTACTCTGGCTGCGCATATTCCCCCAGAGACATAGACTTTTCCTACACTGGTTGGTGGGTTGGAACATTTTTATTTTTTCCATATATTGGGAATGTCATCATCCCAACTGACGAACTCAATCATTTTTCAGGTAGGTCAACCACCAACCAGTACAGTTCCAAACTCATTCTTGATCCAACAAGGGTACCATCTGGTAAAGATGGCAGTGGGTCCCCCCAAAATCTGTAAAATGAGCTGGGGATGGGTCAAAACCCTGGTACCTAGTGAACCCCAAAATAGCTGGGATTTATGGATGTTCATCCCACTAAAAATGGTATCTATAGGTATTGACCCATACCCAGCTTTCGAGTTTCTAGCTGGGAAAATCATCGAACGATTCATTTTTGGTGGGATTTTCCAGCTATGACATGAGTTGTCAACCAAGAATTCACCAACAAAACGAGCAGAATTTCCCCTCTGGTAAACGTTTACATAACTATGGAAAATCACCATTTTTGATGGGAAAATCCACTATTTCTATGGTCATTTTCAATAGCTATGTTAGTCATTACCAGAGGGTCAATGTTTTTTGAGGCTGGTAGATGGCTTGATCTCAAAGATCGTGGGCCAGGACGGCAGGGAGATCTATGCCCTTGCTTAAGGTGCGTCTAACGGGGCGGACGTTCCGAACGGGCACCGGGCCGTGGTTGAAGCAATGATTCATCCATTGTCACATCCTTATGTTATATATATATAATTATGTATATACATATATGCATATTATATATATACATATAATGATATATATGATTATATATATATATATATAATGATATAAATATATTTGTTAGTGTGGGAAAAACAATGCCATAAACCATCCCCCAAATCACAGTTTTTTGTAGGTGGGATTGACACCATTCCCAAACGAGTGGTTTATTATTGTTTTACCCACATTATACTATAATGGATGACTACCAATATACTACGATCCATGATCCACAGTTTAAGGACAAGTCCGAAACATGTTTGGATGTCAATAGTTTAGGAGGTTGAATAATTTGGCTGGGCGGGGGCTCACTTGAGATGTGCAAGCATCAACAAGCCACATGTGGGTTTGTCGGAAAATAGGGTACCCCAAAACCTAGTGGTTTATCATGAATTTTGGGCGTATGCCTCATTTTCATTTTCAGACACACCCAGATATAATATCAAGTTGGCTAGTTATATATATCTCATCACATATCCCTACGTTGTTGTCCCATTGAAAAACGCTTGTTTCTGAAGGACTATGTCAAGCAGTTGTCGCAAAGATTTTCGCTTTGCAGGCGATCGCTTTCGAAAGCAGGGACAAGTCGCGTCTATGCTAGCGATGCTCGATCAGCATCGATCGTGTGCAATGGTGATAGTGACAACTCCCCTATGGGGTTTGATGGGGGTTGACTGGTGATTTAATGGGGGGTTACTGGTGTTTTCCTGCTGATTTAATGGGGGTTTACTGGCGATTTATTGGGTGTTTATTGGTGATTTAATAGGGGTTTGCTTGTGATTTATATAACGGGGTTAGTGCAGCTTTAATGGGTTTATGGGGCAGGCCCCCCATTTGTGAAGTGAACAGTGGCCTTGATTCAGGCTGGTGAATTATCGTCATGTATCCAGATAAATATATCCCAATTGAGGCAACAATCTGACAAAAAATCTGACCACATTATATATATTCCTTTATCTGCAACAAGCCGGGCTTTGGGCATGATGTTCCATAGCCACAAGATCATTTGAGGTGGCAATACTTTGCCGCGATAGATAAATTTAACACATGCCTTGCTGATAAAACTTCACAGTTGAAGGCCTTTGAAAGGATTGAGTGCTGAGAGTTTCTGACCATGGCTGCACCATGGGCAAGCCAAAATCTTTACATCCCCCACTAGAGCCAGACACACACACACAGATGTATATATATATATATGTAAGGACGAACACATCCTGGCAAGCCATCCTTGAATATATCTACGAAAATTGATGCGTCCAGATTGTTGGTTAGTATCCCATTGTATTCCTACATATTCCCACTATATCCCCATTCAACTTGTTAAATCACCGCATTAAAACTGATTGGATTCTGATGTCCATTCCTTCGGATGAGGACGAGCCAAGTCCTCGCGCGGATGCTGACGCTGACTCCTACACGGACATGGTGCCAGAGGTTCTTCAAACATGGCAAGCTGCAAAATCTCTTGAAGATGTAGGGGGCTTTCAATTTCAATATCATCAAAGAAAGGGGATTTTTACAATTGCCAGGCAATCTAATTGATCTAATTGCCATGAGAAACTCGGCAGCCGGCTTGGGAATGGGTCAAGACTGCAGCTTTTCCTAAAAGGGGCAGGTGACATCCAAACCTTGCTTTGGATTTACTTGGGATTGTTTTACCGGCCACGTGGTTCTCAAAATTATTGACCCCCCTAAAATGAGACGATTAAAACAACATGAAATAACATCAAATACTGAACATGATATGTATATATAAATAAACAACCCTAGTCATAGGATTAAGTTAGTTATATATCATTATAAGACCGGTTATATATCATAAAACATCTGGCTTGGTACCCCTCCCATTTTTGCCCTGTACCTGGCACCTTTGTCATGCGATTTTGCGGCAGGTGACGGGACAGACCCTGAGAAGTGACAGCACCTTCCGGCTGGATGTGCAAACCAACAAGAGTGAAACTTGGACGAGGGCGGTGCGTGGATAACTCGTGATATAGAATCAAGTATCAACGAACTATCAACGAATTATAGAAGCAAACAGATAGATCAGTTATATGAAAAGCGTCTTTCCTATTGTTTTGATGGTGATTCACTTTCGTTTCGGAGACCCCCTGTGTCCGGGCAAATTTCAAGGACCTCATTGAATGACCACAATTTACAGGAAATCATCCTCAGATCGGAGGGGTCCAGGTTTGTCAACTATGTGTGTAGTATGTGTTGTACAGTAACTATATAATTCAGCCAGCATGCAGGGGTTATGAGCATCAAACATGGGGATATTACCTACAGCGATACTCATAGAACCAAGTTAAACATGCACGAAATTATACATCTAACGGGAAAAGAACCACCGCAAGTACCGGAGTAGTATAGCACTTGATTCTCTGGGTTTTGATTTGATTGCTGGATGTTAATCATCCATTTGCTATCATTTGCTATTATTTCCTCCTGGAGGGTGATATTTGTAGAGGGGTTGATCCGCCTTTCCAGCCAACAGGATCCAAAAGGTAAGTTATGACAGATGGTATATCAGATCGCCCCCCCCATTTCTGGTGCTTTAAGATGCCCATTTTTGTCGTTAAGATCAAATTGGTCCAATGATAGTATCAAATTCCCATCATCGCCGTCGCCGTCGCCGTCGCCGTCGCCGCCGTCGTCTCACCATCATCATCATCATCATCATCATCATCAATCACCAATCACCAATCACCAATCACCAATCATCAATCACCATCAATCATCATCAATCACCATCAATCATCATCAATCACCATCAATCATCATCAATCACCATCAATCATCATCATGATCATCAACTACACCAATCACCATCAATCATCATCAATCATCATCAAAGACCAATCAGCAATCACCATCAATCATCATCAATCATCATCAGCCTTCATCAATCACCATCAATCATCATCAACCATCATTAATCATCATCAACCATCATCAATCATCATCAATCATCATCAACCATCATCAATTATCATCAATCATCATCAACCATCACCAATCATCATCAATCACTGTGATTATGATGATGATTGTTGTTGTTACTTCTTATCACTGCTTAAATTTCTGCATGTCCTCTCTTCTTGCTTGTGTTAAAACTTCCACTCTTGTTGCTGGAGCCATTTCAGCGTTGGAGTCAGTCCACCGACACGAGGACAGCGCAGGGCCCGAAGCGCCCGAAGCGCCCGAAGCGTTGGCTGTGGCGGCAGTCGCCTCGGAGAACAGGGGCGTCAACCAGGTGGGACCTGCGAAATCCTGCACCACCAAAAGGGGGTTGAAACCCTATGAACAATGGGATGTTTGCCACCTATATCAACTGGTCCATTTTTTTTTCATCAACAGTACGCTTAGTCCATGGTAATCTCGCTATATCCGGGTGGGGTGGTTTGCATATATTTTTCATTTTCAGCCCTACCAAGTATGAATACATGCCTGAACCCCCAACCATACATAGTCATGTTGTTTCCTTTCCTTAGGATAGTAAAGCATTTCAACACAACATATGGTTGTTTGGGGAAAGCACCATTAATTTCCAGGTGGTGTCATGAAAATTCGACCGGCGTTGAATCCCCAGAATGGTAATCTGGTAGTTTTATGGCTTGAAACCACCATATCAATCCATATCATGGGTGAAAAAGGAAGAACCGGGACCTTTGAAAAAGGCAATCCTCAAATCTGGTGCATCTGATTTTTTTAGCTTAGATCATCTAGATCTATATTGTCACATGGATGTGATTTGGGTTTGTCTGAACATGGGTTACGCCAAAATCCAACAGTCGATCATCATTTTTCTAATTAAAATAACAATTCTGGAGTATCCCGCATTTTCATACATACCACATATGATGTATTGCTCGTTATATCCCAATTATATCCCATTCTGTATGCATTTTTATTAGTTAAACCATCCATTTTCAGATACAAATCAGTGAATCTAACTTTTCCTTGGTGAAATCACCATCTGGCATGGTTGCATCCCCAATTTTGTTGCCTAAATTTCATCCATTTCTAGTTCATGTTGTTCATGTCAATCTGTGAGGTGCAGGTACCAAGTCAAGGGACGGATGGCACCTTCAACGTGGATGACATGAAAACAAGCGTTTCTTGGCTGGATTAGTTGCTTGTTGATCCAGCTAATAACGGATATACATATACTTACTGTACAACTATTTTATATTGGATTCGGATATACCCATATATATATACATATACATATATCATATATATATGCATACATATCATATATATACATACATATATCATATATATATATATACATACATATATCATATATATACATCTGGGTAAATTATAACAACCTCACTGCAACCTCACTGCAACCTCACTGCAACCTCACTGGAATCATGGTTAATAAGGGGAATTATCCCAAAATAACCTTATCCTATTTTGTGATCACCATTCTACCGTCATATCCTATTTGTTGGTTATATATTCCACAATATCCCATAAAATCTCACCATTTTAGTTGGTTCAATTCTTAAGTCGGGAAAAAAGGGGCCCCCAAAAAACGATGATGATATACACTCTGGTAAACTAACAGTTTGCTATTGAAAATGGCCATTTATAGTGGATTTTCCCAGTAAAAATGGTGATTTTCCATAGTTTTTGTTAACGTGTACCAGAGGGTACCCACTTAGAACTGGAACTGCAGCCCCTATGGGACTGGGGAATAATTGACAAATCTTTATGGAATCTAAAGATTTAAATTCTGGGAATCCTGGTTTTCCAGGGACAGCGAAAAAAGTTGAACCCACCAAATATTGAATGGTAAAATTAGCATGGTTTCTGGTTTCGATCTTCCCTCAATCCAATCCATTAATCCATTATATTATATATATATGATTATATTATATGTACAATATACATATGTATAATGATTTAAATCCGCGGAAAAGTCGAAGGAACTGGGTAGATTTGGTGGAATCCTCACAATTCTTGCTGATTAAATGTTTGCTGGTGGAATTGCACCATTTTCATCCATTTTCTAAGTCCTCATTTGTTCTGGTCTATTTGGTGAATGGGTAAACAATTCCACAACAAGTGGGGATAAAAAAGCCGTAGAGACTCTTTTATCACTTGAGCGTCTTCATGGGCACCTTTGGAGAAGATGTCTGACAAGGGGCCATAGTGAAAAGATGGATTATTATCAATACAGGAGTGCTACATATATACTGTACCTATATATAATTAGACTGTACCTAAATGATTAATAGATGTCTGACTAAGGTTTTTTTTTGGGGATGGTTATGAAACCCTAAAAACACAGTTCGTTTTGGCCATTCTGTTTGGATGCCTTTTATGCACTGTATGGATATGAATGACCATGTTTTGACCATGGCACATATGGATTTCGGGTCATACAGTTGGCAACCCAAATTCGCATTGTTGATGTAGTTACTACAAACAACGACCAGCGCACGTGTGACATCACAGGTCTTAAATTTTGACCCATACCAAGCTGACTCATACCAAATACAGTAGTCTCCATTTCACAGAAGATTATCAATGGGAATTTCAGCACCCCAAAAATGGAGGTACGTTAGTACCATATAAAACCACATTTTTGGGGCACATCCTAATTTTTACATGGCCCTTACACAGGCTAAAAATATCTAAAAATATATGGAATCGGTACCTCCCATCAATCGCTACCTGTTGCATGGCCATTGAAATGATGGTGACCTCATAACGACTTCACAACCGAAAACCAAAAGGAATCAGTGTAGGATCGGGGGTAGCTATGTTCCAGCATGTGAATTATCGTAATTGGCCCGATTTCAGGATTCCAATTGCAGCATAGCCATGCATAGTAAATGATGGCTATAGCCTATAGCCTATAGCAATTTAGCTGATTAAACATTATTGTATATGCTTACTATAGGCAATTTCAGTTTGTACTATGGAATTATGGGATTGTGGGATTATGCTATCGTAATTAATTACTGTTACATTATGTGTTTTTTTTAAAATAGTAATTCCATTCCTATAGCATATAGTATATAATAATGGCATTCTTATTGTATTATCTGGTAATAGTTCCTTAACCAATGCCTCTAATTTGGCATAATAATGCTATAATTCCTATGGCAACTCCATTAAATCCAATAATTCTGATTATAATTCATATTAATCAGGATAATAAGTCCTAAAATTCCATAAGCATGCTACAATCATGACATTCTTTCAGCTTTGAGTGGATGAATTTGAGCCCCTGCCGTTGCACGTGGGACCTGGGTTGTTTCCTCCCAGGATCAGTCGAAAAGCAGCGTGGTCGACCTCGCGTGAGGCCCGTTTTTGTTTTGGGGTGATGGGAGCCTATAGCCATTGGTAAACAGTTGGTTTACCCTCTGGTAAACATACAAAACGCTATTGAAAATGGCCATTTATAGTGAGTTTTCCCATTAAAGATAGTGATTTTCCATAGTTATGTTAGTTTACCAGAGGGTATAATTTATAACAACCATGAACTATAGAATGATAAACCCTAGTTATTGGAGTTATAAGCTAATTTAGCTATAAGCTAAGTTAACTATTAGATTATGGGAAATCCACTATAAATGATTTTCAATGGAGGTTTTAATGAGACATATCATGGGATATAATGTATAGAATGATCTATACCCTCTGGTAATTTGTTACAGTTTGCTATTGAAAATGGTTCATTTATGGTTGATTTACCGAACATATATAAATCTGGTGATTTTCCATATGTAAACGTTTGCAAGTAACTGTTGAAAGTTTCCATTGAGTTTGTTGATTTACCTAACTTAAACATGTTGATGTTCCATAGTTTTTTGTATGTTTACCAGATGGTATACGGAAATTCGAAGAGGTATTTTTTTTGGCATTCATTATGACTCGTATGACCAATTCCTGTATTTATGATTTAACTGGTGGCCCATGGTACATGTAATTATCAATATGGTAGATTAATATCATCATCCTCGAGTAACATAGTAAATCACCCATACTTTCATGGTTTTACCACCCCCATTTATGAAAAAAATGGGATGGTTTACTATTGTTTCACTAACATTAGATAGAACATGGATGTTTCAAAAATCTTCCCATTTTAGTGAGAGAGGTTTGACAATTCGATATTCCATCTACTCCAGGATGACTATAGATGGAATAATGTTCAATATTATATACATACTTTTAAGTAGACATTTGAAGGTATAATTGACATTATGAACGGTATACTGTACAGTATACCATTCATCTGGATGTAAAAATGGCACCGTTGTTATCATTCACGGGACAGTCCAAATAAAAGGGGCTACTCATACCGGCTACCATCGAGACGGGAGGGCAATCAATGGTGGATTTTCCCGCCGACCATGTCTGATGACACCGGGCCGGGTCATCATCATTCTCCCATCATCTCCCATGAAAACTATAGTTATACCATGTTATACCCCCTATAAAACATAGTTAACCAAGATATATCTCCCATGGCAAGTTATCAGTTTCTGCTTCCGATAACTTGAAGGCACCTCTTCTGATCCTGAGAAAGTACACTCAAGCCAAGCAGTCTTCCTAGAATTGCTTGAAGGGACAAGAGAAACAGGACACCCCTGCGTTTAGGGGTACCCTTTAATAATTCAGCATGGCAATGGACATTCTCACCTTTTGACAGGAAGATACGGGCTAATGATCTCTATAAAGGATTTTCCATTGTCAGGTTAGACTACTGGAGGGGAAAAACCATGGTTTCCTGTAACATGTCCCAAGAAAATCAATCCATTGAGATCTCCGTTCATCAACATGCAGCATGCACCGCTGGTGGCCAGGTCAGAAAAAGCCTTGGATTTTGCAGGCTGATAACTGTCCACAGACATGGTGGTTTCTCAAGATTTTGGGATAGCGCAAGAGCGATGAAAAACCTAAAGATATCCCAAAATCACATCCCCAAGATTCCCAAGATTCTTTTACAAGATTGCATAAATTTGATTTTGGGCAGTAGAACCAATCGTATCCAATAATTCTGAATGTAGTAGACGGTGCAAAGTTGGTGCTGGGATGATCTTGGAGGAATTTTTGGCAGGAAGTGGAACTGTCAAACAAGGGAACTCATGACTGGTTGGTGGTTTGGAACATGATTTTTATGACTTTCCCATCATATTGGGAATAATATATCATCCCAACTGACGAACTCACTCCATCATTTTTCAGAGGGGTAGGGCTCAACCACCAACCAGATTAGTATCTATAGTTAACCACTATTGACAGACGATTGATGATTAAGCATGATCAACACATTGACCATCAACTATCTATAGTTAACATTAGTTAACTACCAACAAAAAACCAGATGAAGTTCAGAGATGATCATCCCGGAGAAGCACAGAATTCACGCGACAAGTCAGTCAGAGCGTCGCCTCAAACGAGAGCGCTGTGTTTGACCGAAAAAACAAATCGTCGCGTCGCACCGCAGAGATCCGGTGCCCCAGTGCTGGCCAAAGGAGCTGGTGAAGGGGGGAAAAGACCAGGTGTGCTGTGGTCAAAAGCCGAAAGCTGTACCCTCTGGTAAACTAACATAGCTGTTGAAAATCACCATTTTTATCCATTTTTAGTGGGTAAATCAACTATTAAATGGCCATTTTCAATAGCTATTTTGACATAACCAGAGGGTAGTTGGGCCTTGAAGTTTGGACAAGTCATGGACCCCCATTTTTTTAAATCCCAAGGATTGATCATATTGAATGTACCCGGCCTGGTAAACATACAAAAAGCGAACTGGAAAATGGCCATAGAAATAGTGAGTTTTCCCATTAAAAATGGTGATTTTCCATAGCTATGTTAGTTTACCAGAGGGTATTTGAATGTGGTAAATCCAATGCCATATATATATATATGTATCCATAGACATCCTATCAACCAGTCATGACTGCGGGTCGTTTTACATCATCGCATTGCTAATTTCATAAACCTCTACTGGGTATGGTTTCTACCGGGAAACCAAGGGCCACAACGGGTGAAATGAGGCATCCCAATTCTCGCAAACACCCAGCTATGATGACTTGTATCGAGCTGACCACGAGGTCACAGGAAGTAGGAATGACTCTAATGCCGGTTTAGATGGTTTAGATGGCTAGAATGAGCTACAACGGTCCCGGATATTTTGGAGATCCAGAAGCTGGGAGGGAACTAATTAGATGGCACAGGAAAATACCACCGTTCTTTATCCCTTGAGAAATCAAGGGCCCATTGGTTGAGAAAGTTTTTTGCTATGTGAACATGAACCCCAAAGAATGATTTTGGAAGATCATTCCTTTTGGCACAACTGCGAGCTGAGCTGGTAGGAAATTGAAACTGCCATTTCAGATTGTCCTCCGTACCCCACCTTAAGCATCCTCCAATTGGCATTTTTCCCAGAGAACTTAAGTATCAAATGATGCTTGTTTTCAGTCTTGTCCCAGCCAATCTTTGATTTCACATCACAAACTTTCTCGGTTTGTAACCATACCGCATACCCTTTATATAGTGTCACTTTCCACGGCCATCATTCGGGTCAAATCATGTCAAATCCTCCTGTCCCGTTGCCGGTTGGTGAAATGAAACCTTCGTTTTCACCGGTAAACTCTGATCACATCCACCAGTTTCCTAACCTCTCCATTTTTACAGGTAACATCATTGTCCTTTTGGATACAATATTGGCCAGTAAAATCTGGATATCTTGTAGCTAACATGTCCAATTTTTTCCTCGACAAATTCACCATTCTTGACCGCACAATTCCGAACCAACTTTTTTTGTACGCAATGTCCCCCTTTCCCAGAATTGACGGGAAAGTCAAAAAGCGGAACCTCCAATTTGGAGGTAAACATCAGCCAGGTTCCGGTCAACACTTCCCCCTAAACCCAAGAAAAATTGATCCATCAAATCCATGAAATCCATGTTTTTCGTTGATGAAATTCCAATTTTATGATGGTTAAATCATGTTAAATCATGTTAAATCCCCATTTTTGATGGTGAAAAACCACAGATTTTCCCTAAAAAAATCGTGAGGATTCAACCTCTGAGCCAGGTCACCCTGGGCGCATCTAAATCAGCAAGAACCACGTTTATAAGGGTGAATCTTAACCATTCCCCTCCGGTAAACATACAAAAAGCTATTGAAAATGGCCCATTTATATCATTTATAGTGGATTTTCCCATGAACAACGGTGATTTTCGATAGTTATGTAAATGTTTACCAGAGGGTATGATCCATTTATCAACAATCATCGTCCCCGACTATTGACCAGTAATTTCACCACTAAAAAAATCACCACTATTGACAGACTATTGATGATTAAGCATGATCAACACATTGACCATCAACTATCTATAGTTAACATTAGTCAACCATCAAGAAAAAACCAGTTGACCCACCTGCCACCCCCAGGTCTTGCCGCAGTGCCGGTGCTGGACCCCCGCCACCGGGCGTCTTTCGATTGCTGAGGGTGGCCTTGAGTGCCCCGGCTGTAGCCATCAAATATGGCGGATGAAGGATTTAACCATAAAAACCATTAAAAACCTGGGATTTCATCGTGAAAAATCGAGGTTTTACGATGTTTTACCATTAAAATATGGATTTTAAGCATCGAAGATAGGAATTTTTGCTCGATGAATCCATGGGATTTTGGATGATTCCGGTGAATTTCAATGGGGATTCCTATAATTAGGATAACCCAAAAGTTGGGGGAACCAACTAACCAACTATCATGTGGATCTACTATACGGGATAAACATGGAAATACATGGAATACTTATACATAACACAATGACAATCCTTGAAAAGCCAGTAAACATGTATGAAAAGATACGTCAAGAGTTGGTTTGTATACCCAGTTTTTTTGGGATGGTCATCAATCCATAGGTATATCAATATACCCACATTTTTGGACCAGTTGATTCAGGTCCATCTGAGTAGCCCTGTTGGTTCTTTAGGGATTTTCTGAACTCAGCCAGGGGATATCTATAGCTGGTTTGGAACATGAATTTTATGACTTTCCATCATATTGGGAATAATATATAATCCCAACTGACTTTCACTCCATCATTTTTCAGGGTAGGGCTCAACCACCAACCAGACCCATTATAAGGAATCCCTAAATTCATAGGAATACATATCCCCCAAAATGGAAACTTTCACGGGGAACGCGAGGTTCCAAACCGATATTGGTATCCCATTGTTGAGCCATACCCATCCGTATCTGGGTAAATTGACTTTGGGTCATGTTGAAAAAGCAATCATAAACCAACCATATATTGATGGTTTATACCACCCATTTATGGTGATTTAGGGGGTGGTTTATTATTGCTTTACCAAGATTATTGGGGTTTAAACAACTTCAATATGAAGATCTATGCTGAATAAATCATCTTTTGGCTATAGCGATGATGCTCATGCGGACGCTGGGTTTGACTCGTTGAATTATTTGGATGTGCATCTCCAGGTAAGTTGTATATTTACATCACCAGCAACTGGGATGCACCACCAACTGTAGCAACCCCAGCCCCAAAAAGATAGTTCAGAGTACTTCTCTGAACTTTGCCACGATTTCAAGATTGGTTTTACATGATTTTAAAACATGATACTAACCAATCCTGAAATCATGTATTTCATTCATTTCATTGATATTTTTGGGCTTGGTACAAGGCATCTAATCTTTTTCTGTCTGGGGTCGCATTTCATCAGGTGCGGGTGAATCCAATGGCAAGGGAAAAATGGCCGGGCCAGGCTGGCTGCAGAGGGACGGCTGATGACTGGGGTTGGGGTATAAAGCCACGAATTTTTATGGGAATATCATGGGAATATCACGGGGTTGTACGGGGTTGTACTAGTAGTAAGTTTTTTTTTTCTCAAAGCAACGATACCAAGATGTTCACATAGTTTTTTTCCTCATCACATATGGCCCATATTCTAGTTCACATCTTACATGTCTGTTTTGGGCCATAGAATTACCACCTCCAGCTATTCCAGCCCTCTTGTCCGGTACTCAACACCATTTGCAACTCATGATCCATTCAGTTCGATTAGGGAAGGTACAAAACATGGTAGTACAAGGGTACACTGAGTGTAGGAGTGAAGAATCCAGACTTACAACTGTTCATTACTGTATGGGTTTGGCATGTGGGACATGTTTGCTGTTGAAGAGCCAGCAAGCTTGGGGTGCTAAAGGTTCAGCAGCTTTGTTCACCAATTGGAATACAAGAGATCCAAGGAAAGCCACCCACATATCACTTGGAGTGTGAACTACCAGCCATTTCCAGCGACTTCTCTTACCCAGATGACATGTACTGAACACTGCTTAGAGATAGGAAGCTGTCCCATCAGGTGGGGATTTAAACATACCATCGAGATGCTGGCCACGGAAGATGGATCACTTGTAAACAATGGAGAACTCAATGATTCATTTGTAAACGATGCTTCAACCATCAAATCTGTAAACCATCTGCAAAGAATGATTCAAATATGCTTTTTTCAGATGACCAGCTTTGCTTGATGACCATTTTCCCATGAAATCCATTAGTTAACCATCGCTATCTCATATTATAATATATTATGCCTATTAAATGGCCTTATTGGGCGCATTTTCAGACACACCCATATCTCAGATCAAGTTGGTTATTTATGTACATTTGTGTATATTTATGTATGTTTTTGTAGTACAAATTATATACTACCCATGGTATGCGCATTATATCAGGTTTTCAAAGGTTTCCCTAACACACCCCTCGATCTTCTTGTTTTTCAGGTTCGCAGCTCGACACTGCAGCGGCTCGTCTTTCTTAACGCTGGGGTGGTCGTGGCAAAGCGCCGATGTGCTTTGGAGATTTTTTCAAACAGCATCCCCACAATGGAGATTGTGGGTGATATGGGCGATATGGGTA